TGCCAATTAAATTGGCTCAACTTGTTGGTTGAACAACTCAACCCAATAAAGGCAGCAAGTACGCTAGACCTGGTTCCTAATACAAGGAACACCTCAGTAAATGCAAGCACCTGTTGATTTGACTCAGAACTAGGCCATGTTTTGGGTGGTTTGAATGGTCTATATTTTTGGGCAAAAACTTGGACATGTGCAACTCTTTTTGTCACTAGACTAAACTTGACCAAAATGTTCCTTTACCTATTTTTGTTTACTTTCTCATATACAATTAGATCACTTCAACTTTCAAAATAATAGGTCGTACCCCATGTGCTGAGCGAATCTTGGGGCATGAGTTAAGTATATAGTTGATTGCTTTTTTTTCGATTAAGCATCACTAATTTTGTTGTCTCTCTGTAGACATGAAAAATAATAGTACTATTGCTCTTCGTGACGAAGTGAGATAGATAATTCTTTACCCTAACTTTAGAGGTGCATCTTTGCATGAATTAATACTAACCCCTTAGCTCAGTCAAATGACCATCAATTGCAGAGATTAGATTATAAGAACTCCGTAATGACGGAGAGGGGTTGGTCTAGAGTCCAAATAATTTCTTGCCTTCTTTTAAGATATTTTTACTTAGGACTTGATTGAGGGATCAATTGATTGTGAAGGACTTCATATTCAAAAGTTAAAGAATTAAGGAAAAAAAGTCCTAATGACCCTCAAACTATTAGTCAGGTGAATTTTTGGCCCCCTAATAATAAAAAGTGAACTTTTGGCCCCCGATCTATCCAAAGTGTAAAATGTTGGGTCTTCTATAAAGTTCAGCAGTTAATACCAACAAAAACCACGACCACATGAGACGCACGCCAAACTATGAAGGGCATTTTTGTCCGTGACAACCTGTGTTCCACTGGATAAAATGGGAGTTCTTCCCGAGCAAAGAAATGTATGAAGAAAACTCTATTGCAGCCAAAGAGCTTGCTGAACAAAAAAATGCTAGGAACCAACAATCCCCCTTTCCCCTTGTGTAGGTGTGAGAAAGTGACGAGGGTCATAGCTTCGTGGACCTCGAGGAATCCTAGGCATAGATTTACGGTGTGCGTGGATGGTAGCTGCAAATTTTGACAGTGGATCAATGAGAAGATGTGATGAGGAGATGGTGTATCTCGCATGTTGAGAATGTGTTGTCAAGTGGATCTATGGTGTTGAGAATGTGCGCGGATGGTGGGTCCAAGTGGATGGTGTTGAGAATGGTGTATCTCGCAGGCTGGCAGTGGATCTATGGTTTTGTCAAGTGGTTGACTAATTAGGCTATTGAAGAACCAAACTTCATGACTGTTGTGGTGGGCTCTTAAAAAATTGAGAACTTTACCGCTTGATATACAGGGGAGGATTATCTATTGGAGCTGCAATGTCAATTGCTAGCATGGCTCTTACTCTTGTTTATGAAGATTATTGGAACTTCCCTGTTCATGTCTTGGGTAGAAATGGGGCGTTTTCAAATGATACCATCATAATTTTTCTTGCAATTGGAGGTTCTGTGATTCCTATGCAGGTAATGGCTAATTCTATTGCTTCTGTAAAGCTCAAGATACAGTTCCTATGCAGGTAATGGGGTCTGATTCTATTGCTTCTGTAAAGCTCAAGATATAGAACCGCAAGGAATTTTTTGTGAAGAATCAAAAACTTGTTTTTGATGGAAAAGAATTAGCGCAAAATAAGTCCAGTGTTCAGGATTATGGGGTCACTGATAGGAATGTGTTGCATTTGGTCCTTAGTGTGACGACTCCACCTCTCCCTAACGCGTACCCAAGGGTTTGGCGGATTGCCTGCCTAACTCACGTCAGGACTCACTACATTCACTCCAATAAATTCTCAAAATAACCGTTCAAGCCTCCAAATTAACATCTGAATTCTACAGTTCAATCAAAATTCAAACTTAATTACAAACTAAAAGTACATGTGCAAGAGGATCATTACACACTAGTTCAAACTTATAAGCTCCGAACCTCCACTCCTGTAAGGAAAAACAAATCTAAGGGGGGGGGGAGAGTGAGTTATTACCCAGTGAGGTTCCCCAAACAAACATCCAAGCAAAATACCAGTCAAAACACAAAAATATTGCATTTAACAAATTCACACATTTTGCATAGTAGTAAACATCTCAAGGCATTTAAAACGTAATTATTCAATCATTTAAAGGATATGAACTTACTTGGAACCATTCATTCATTCAATCATTTAGTCATTCAGTCATTCAGTCTCCGTCCATTTCTTTCTTATAACTTCCGATATTTGAAAATACATTTGAAAACAAAAACCCCGACATTGATCATTTCATTCAGTCATTTATTCATTATATTTCATTCACTGACCAGTACTCTACCTAACTTCATAGTCGTACACTAGTGTACCAAAATAGTGGCCCAAGGTTACCAACCTACTTGACTGAATCCGCTTGTGACTCGAATAGGCTAGCGACGAAGGACAAGGGCCCAATTCAGCCATGACTTACATTCATGCACAGGTAATATTCAATCGTTGAAAATTTATATTCACTTAGATCGAGTGTGGTAAAGTACACACTCGCCTATCAATAGTAAAGTGATCTTTGAAATACTTTTAACAGTCAAACAATAATCACACAATCAAAGCATTCAATTCACAAACACAAGGAACACTCACCACTTGACCTCAATGTTTCCACTTCAAACCCTGATTCATCTTCTCAAGTCCTGTGGTTATATAAACTATCAGGAGTCTATCCATTTAAAACTAAGATAAAAGAAAAAATATGAGTTCGAAACTTCACTTAACAAATAGAGAAAATTGCAGGTTTAATCCTAATATAGCTTTCGAAAGGGCCACGATTTCTTGTTCAAATCAAGGGAAAACCACATGTATGATAGGTCCATGTTTCAAGTATAATATGGAGCAAGAATATGTCGGTTATAGCCAAGAATTTTGAAGACAACAGGAGAAAATTTTCGAGGCACAAAACTGGAAATTTCGAGCAAGAAAAACACGTTGGAGAAAACTCATTTTCCTTTTCTTGTCCTCTTTGTTTTGACTCAACTCCAACATGCAGGCGAAGATTTAGGTTTAACAAAGTATCTTGAGCAAAACCTTGCCAAAATCACCACAAAATTCTGGAAATCAAATCTGGAAAATGGCTCTTTTCTAGCCGGCCAACTCTAATAGAAATTACAGCAAGTTTTCCCCAAAATTTTCAACAAAACTTCCAACTTTCAATCTTATTTTCTTAGCAAAACTACTATCAATCAAGATATCATGTTATGACATATATGACCATTTTCTTAGCAAATAAACCCATCAAAATTTCACATATTCAAAACTCTAAACTAAACTAACTAGATTATGCACCAAAAGTGGAAATTAAAACATAATCTTGACAAACCATAAAATCTTCCATAAAAGTCATGACTTTTACCTTATAGAATATTATCCATTAAGTAGATGCAAAGACAATTGAAGAAAGATAAGATTGCTATCAAGTTTACCTCTTAAATCCCACAAAACAAAGTTGAAAATTCACAACATAACCTGAAAATCGTGAAATTCACCATACAAGTCCTTTCTTTAACTTCTATAACATCATATATCAAATAAACTCAAAGATAAGGGAAGATTTCTGGTAAAGTTTACCTCTTTACCTCCAAAACCTTAGATGGACAGCCAAGCAAGAAGTACTCAAGGGTTTCTTCCTCCAAAACTTCTCCAATAACTTCCCTCCAAACTTGATTCAAGATTTGTCGGAGTAGACTAGGGTTTTCTCTTGTTTTCCCTCACTAATCAAGCAAGAAATCAAGGCTTGAACTTGGAGTTGGTTTTCCCTTCTTTTCCCCTCAAGAATTTTGGCCAAGACAAGATAAAGAAGAAAGAAATAGTGAAGAAAGAAAAGGGAAGAAAGAAAAGCTTATTTTGGTTAAGGTTTTGGTCAACTTTGGTTGGCTACTTGACAAATGGCAAGAAAAAAAGAGAGGTTTATCTTTTTGTCTCTCTATTCGTCTTTAACTCACCAAGATATTTAAGATTTTTCCAATTAACTCTTAACACCTCATGTCACATAGTTCTTTTTATACAAAACTCCTTCTAATCCCCCAAATTTATTGCACACACCTTACTAGTTGGTCACTAGTATATTGTACTATGAAACTTAACATGCATCAAATTAAACATGCACCAAGGTAAATAATACAATAGGAAGAAAATCATGATTCAACCATTAAATCAACCAAGAATTTAAGGCAAGTAAGTTCAAATAAGAGTTATAAAGACAAGAAAAATTTTGAAGCCTCACACCTAGGCTATTAGATCTCTAGGCGATTACTATTAGAACTGCGTGTGGGAAAGAGTTTGAGTTCCATGTTGGAAGAAAGAGAAATGTGAGCTATGTGAAACAACAGATTGCTAAAAGGGTGAATGAATTTCTTGGTCTCAAAATAATGGTAGAGAGAGGGAGAGATAGTGGTAAAAGTAAAAGTAAACAATTAGGTCAAAATCATTTTTACTCCATTTTATTGAGTGGAACATAGCTCATCACGGACAAAAAAGCCCTTAGTATTTCGACCTGCATCTCACATGGTCGTGGTTTCTGTTGATATTAACTGTTAAATTTGACAGAAGGCTCAACATTTTGCACTTTGGATAGATCGAGGGTCAAAAGTTCACTTTTAATTGTTGGGGGTCAAAAGTTCATCCGACTAATAGTTTGAGGCTAATTGAAAATTTTTTTCCCAAGAATTAACTAAGAACTTACCTACACGAATAACATATGCACATAAAAATGTAGAAATAAGACAAGGTAAAAGATTAAAAGAGAAAATAAAACGAAGTTGGTTTTTGATTAAAATTGAATTCCAAAAAACTACAAAAAATTATTAAATTATCGATTCCTTTCACCTAAAGTCAATTTCGATGTCAAATAATCCCCATTCAAATCTCCAAATTTGAAGGGAACCGAGACGATCCAGTTTTGGGGTCCGGTTTAATCAATTTACTCTCCCCTTGGCCGCGGCGAGGCATCCAGTAATTCCCGTCCTCCATTTAGATTAGCAGACTCCGGAGTTGTCACTTGTCCGCTCTAAAACGGAGGGAACAAAATAAAATAAAATAAAAACCGCCATGGCACCGAGAACTTGAATCCCATTTAAAACAAGAAGATTTTCATTTTTCTCCCTCCAAATTATAATGCATTCAAGGCTTGGGTTTATCTTAGCATCATGCTCCAAAAGAAGAATTAGGCTTAATACTTCTTCATCAACACCATCATTTCCACTCTTCTCTACTCTCTCATTATCCTTGCCGTTAGTATTACCGCCGGCGGCTGCTGGGGAGCGGTTAATTAGAAGAGTTTTAAGTATTTCTCTGTCCAATTTATTGTGCAATTCGGCCACTCTTGCCAGTGGGTCCCTAGGCCGGAGCTATTCTAGTTACGCCGTTGAACAGTTCTCTGATGACGAGTACGAATGCGATTACGACAACCAGCCGGTAATCTATACTTCTCGATAATCGAATGGAAAAGTTTTTTTATTTCCCTTTGGTTTAATTTTGTTTGCATTAATTTGTGCGTGCTGTTTTGTCATTTTTTCCCTACTTTAGGTTCGTTTGAATGGTTTCGTAATAAATGATGTTTTTCGTTTTCATTCATCGAACTTGTAGTAGAAATGGAGGAGAAGTTTGAATTTTACTAGTTGAATTTTTAGTGGTGCTATTAGTTACTGCTTGGAAAGGTTAAATGGCTTGTGATGGTTATGTGTGAATGTTCTTTTTGCTATTTGTATGATTGAAAATTGAGCTGGAGAATAATTAGTTTTAGGGCTATTGTTATTGTAGGCATCTTCGTCAGTGGCCAACATTGATGAATGGAAGTGGAAACTTAGTATGCTGTTGAGGAATGAAAAGGATCAAGAAATTGTGTCCAGAGATAAAAGGGACAGGAGAGACTTTGAGCAAATATCGAATTTGGCTAAACGCGTGGGACTTTACTGGTAGAGAACTTTTTGCATTATCGTGCTTTTATTCTGTTTGGCTTTATTTTTTCCTGATTTTGTTTGAGATTTTTTTTTTATTTTGTCTGGTGCAATGTTTACAACCATGTTCAGCGAAATATATGGCAAAGTTGTAGTTGCAAGCAAGGTGCCTCTCCCTAACTACAGGCCAGATCTAGATGATAAGCGACCTCAGAGGGAGGTATGTAATTACTTGTTGTTGATTTTTTTTAGGATTTGCATTTATAAGCAGTTGATTATTCTTAATTTATTCAAGACTTGCAGGTCGTTATCCCATTGAGTTTACAGAGGAGAGTTGAGGGTCTGCTTCAGGAACATTTGGACCGATTGCAGCTAAGTTGTGTTAAAAGCGATGAAGCTTCAGGCGAAAGAAAATCCATGGATCAGGTTGAAGATGTGAATAATGAAGAAAATCCTGACTCCCTCCTTGATGGATCTGTCATGGAGAAGGTTCTCCAGAGACGGAGCTTGCGGATGCGTAACATGCAGAGGGCTTGGCAGGTATTTGGTGGTTACTTTCTATGTTTCTCTTACCTCTTTGGATGGCATTAGGCATGATTCTCAGAATTGCATGCAAGCAATTTGCACCAGCTCCTGAGTGACGTTCCATTAATTAAGTACTTGATAAAAACTAGTATTGCATTTATTGTTTACTTAGGTTGTTATTACTAAATATGTAGATGTCTGTTTTGTTCTCATCCATGTAAACTATCCACCCATGTCTCGAATGACTATTTGAAGCATTTAGCTTTTTCCTTGTTCACTGCCAGATATTCTTTGTATTGATTCATATATGTTTTAACCTCTTATAATGTGCGCATGCATACATACGGTGATGTATAGAAGAATGCATGTGCATGCATACATATATACCTTTCAAGTGCATATGCATGTATAATATCTTAGCATATTGCTTTTCGTTGACACTTGGACATCATTATTGAGAATATAGTCACATTTTCTGATTGTTTTCCTAATCCAAAACTCCTTATTCCTGGTTTAGTTTTGACTTCTGTCTGATTAAAAGCTACTGGAGACTTAATCATGCTACAGTTCGCTGCATTATGGACAGAGTATCTTTGTTTTGCTAAATGTAATTTTTTTTGTGGAAGCGTTTTGTTCTGTTGTGCTGGATGCAAAAAGTTCTGAAAGTGATTGCAGATACTTTCAATGTATATCAATACTCGAGATTTTACTTCTTGATTTTTTTTTTACTGGATTGTGCACTGAAGTAATTTTTTCTTTTGATGTAGGAATCACATGAAGGAAGAAAGATGCTGGATTTTCGGAAATCTCTCCCTGCATTCAGGGAGAAGGAAAGGCTGCTTCAATCTATTGCAAATAATCAGGTTCACCAGCAGAACTCGTACTTTTTAATTTGTTACTTACACTACAGAGTCTGTGTATTTCACTTTGAATGTTTAAAAAAACAAGCTTGCACAAAAGATAGGCTTCAACAATGTACCTCATCTAGTTTAGAATATGTGAGACTTCTAGTGTTTTAATAAGTTCTGTAACTTTGATGTATTGCCTGATATGTTGTAATATTTAAAAGAACTTATGTGCTGTCTACAGATGAAATATGATGTATCTTGTTTTCATCTATGCTTTTCAACCTTCTGTATCTAATGCCTAAACACTACTTAAAGTTTCAAAAGATTTTTGTGTGTGGCTGTTTGGTCGTTTGTAAAGAGGATGGTTTCTTCCTTGGATGAATCATCACAATTATGAGTTCTATATGGAAGTTGATCCGCTTCCTTTCTGCTCTACAGGTGGTTGTGATATCTGGGGAGACTGGGTGTGGTAAGACCACCCAACTTCCTCAGTACATATTAGAGTCAGAAATAGAATCTGGTCGTGGAGCATTTTGTAGCATAATTTGCACACAGCCACGTAGAATATCTGCTATGGCTGTTGCAGAAAGAGTATCTACAGAAAGAGGAGAGCCTCTTGGTGAATCAGTAGGCCTTCTATTGCTCTTTTGCTTTAACTTTTCTTATGATTGATTGGGATTTGAAGTGTCCATTCACTAGATAGATAGTTCTACTTGGAAACTTCTTTATTTGAGCTACTGTCCTTCACAGAGATTTTTTGGTAGGTTGGTTTTAAAGTGAGGCTAGAGGGAATGAAGGGAAAAAACACACAACTTCTCTTTTGCACAAGTGGTATTTTACTCCGTCGGCTATTGAGTGACCACAACCTGAATGGTATTACTCATGTCTTCGTGGATGAAATTCATGAGCGTGGCATGAATGAAGGTTAGTATAGTTTTTTAAAGTTTTTTCCCTATCTTCTCGAGTTTTTTCAGCAAAGCATCATATGCTGATTGTCATAGTCTTTTCTGCTATTTTGTTATCAGACTTCCTGTTGATTGTATTGAAGGATCTTCTTGTGCAACGTCGAGATTTAAGGTTGATTTTGATGAGTGCTACTCTAAATGCTGATCTGTTCTCCAGTTATTTTGGAGGAGCACCTATAATTCACATCCCGGTAAATTGTCAAGCTAAGTAGTATATCCTTATTGGGGTTTCCATATGGTATCAGAAGTTCCTGTTGTATCTTGCAGGATACAGTTTGTAGGTTTCTTAAACTTGGAATAAGTATCGAGTATGCTTTAGATTTCCTTCTCTAAACCACTAATCTGATTTATGGTGTGGCCAACAGAGTTTACTTATGCTTGGTTTTATTTGGGGCTGTTGTGAAATTCTTTGCAAAGTTGACCTTATCAACCAAATAATTTCTTTTTTGCTTTCTTCTCAAATCCTTTGAATAAATTTGATAACTTGGTATTTTAGTTAAGGAAAAAAATTTGTCTGAGCTGCAGCACAATTTAGACCTTGAAATTATCCCCTTTCAACCTTTATATCTCCTGTGAAATTTAGTTAATGTTGTCTACACTGTGTGTTTCAATTTGGAAGAGTGTAAGCACTCCTCCAACCCTATCACCCCCGTCCCCTAAACACCTTTGTTGAAAATGAGTGTAGGGATTCACGTATCCTGTGAGAACTCACTTTCTGGAAGATGTACTGGAAATGACTGGATATAAGCTGACTTCATTCAACCAAATTGATGATTATGGCCAAGAGAAGGTATGGAAAACACAAAAGCAGCTAGCTCCACGAAAGAAGAAGAATCAGATAACATCTCTTGTTGAGGTAACAAACTCTGCTCAAGATATACTCTATAGAAAATCTTTGCTGCTTTTGCTTCCACACATATTTGATTTTTGGTTGAGTATTTGTTTCCCTTTGGTCATTGCATTTTCTTGTTTTGTACAAGTATTGTTTGTATAAATTTGAATGTTGAAGTTTTTAAGGGTTTTTTTTGACTGGCACATTCTTCTTTAATAAGGCTAAGTTACACAGAAACTTGAGTTAACAGATCTTCACATGTTGGTAAAATTTTTCAATCTCTGTATTATATACCCAGGTCATTTTTCCTTTTTTTTTTGGGCTGAAAATGTTAGCCTTTTATGATGATTTGGAAGGCTTTTGCACTCTCACAACTTTTTCCATAGTAATAGTTGGATTCTTTTTCTTGTAACCCCATCTGATTTAATACAAGCTTAAATTTTTTATCAGATGAATGAGAAGGAATGTTATAACTTTACAAGTCAAAAATAATTTCTGTGAATAGTGTTGCTGAGCCATACGATAAGATGTGCATTAGAACAACTTAGTTCTTGATCCTGGGAGATTGTAGTTACACAGAGACCATTTGACGAACTTTTCTTTTTTGGAAAAATTTGAAATTGTTGCAAGGAATACAAAAGATTGTGAATCTGATTAGTTCATTTTACCAATTGTTTCTTCTGCATTGGGCTGGTATTCTTTTGTTGCTCATATCACGTGTATGTTGGCATACTTCCTGTAGCAAGGGGGAGGTGGTGGAAAGTTAAAGCTCATATCTTAATAGAAGGCCATTTCCCTAATAGGGTAACTATTCCAATAATTATAAATGCTACTACTGGTTTGAGCGAAGAAATTTGTCTTTCTTGAAATGCATACCTCGTCTAAGGTAGTAACTGGACAAAATTGGTGGACCAAATCTTTTCTGGGACCACCATTTTTGCTGTATGTTATTATCTTGTTATAAGAACTACCTCTTTCAATCCTGCTTAAATGTAACTTTCTTTAATCTTCACTGGTAGACAACAACTATTCAAAGAGTGCAGGTCACATGCATTGGACCTACAAAGAGTAATGTTCATATTTGAGCTTTTGAATCTTTTCACAGGACGCTCTGAATAACTCAAACTTTGAGAATTATAGTGCCAGAGCACGTGATTCACTCTCATGTTGGACACCTGATTGTACTGGGTTCAATCTTATAGAGGCTGTTTTATGCCATATATGTCGGAAGGAACGACCTGGTGCTGTGCTGGTATTTATGACTGGTTGGGAGGATATTAGTTGCTTGAGGGATCAAATTAAAGCTCATCCACTGTTAGGTGACCCTAACAGGGTGCTTCTACTTACATGTCATGGTTCAATGGCAACCTCTGAACAGGTGCTGCATTTTCTTTGAGTTCCTTTTTCTTGTACTGTTCTTACCATGCTGATGATCATTGTTACCATAGATATTTTGTTTTCCTAAAGTATTTTATTCTTGTTATCATTTATTTGCTGGTGTCACTACTCACTAGCTTTAATATCAATGTGTTATATAGATAGTTCTTTGTTTTACCTGCCTCAATGTGCTGGAAGAGGGCTTTAATTTCCCAACGTATTGAAGTTGTTGAATCTCATATTCTTTTCTAAGATATTGCTTTTCCTTGCTGCCTTTTTCTTTTGCATGCCAAAGTGGTATGGTTGACTTATGTTGATATGAATATGCTCCATTTGGATATCAATGGATTAATAAGTTTATCTCAAACATTCATTTTTGGTACTATTGAAGACTAATTTGCTCTTCCAAGTTTCTTACGTATCCCATCAATTTTCTTTTGCAAGCTTCGTATTCCTTTTCTTAGATACAGGTGGAAAGAAAAAGAGAAGTTCACTTCAGCACCTACTTCATCATTTGTGTCCAATCCAGTATTTGCTTTTGGATAGATTCAGAATAGTTTTTTCCCCCTTTAGTAGATTTAAGATTAGTCTATGTTGTCTTCACTTCAGTTTTCTTCTTGCTTTACTTGCTCCGAAAATGTAGATTAAGGTTGACTTTTGCTTAGACTTCCAGTGGTTCATATGCATCAGCAGTCTATTGGTATTCTTGTTTCAGGAATAATATCATAGAGCTCTAATACTCTTGTCTTGTAGCATGATTTGTGCTAAGGCTAGCTTGCACATACAGTGATATGATATAATCAGCAATTTTTCGCCAGCTTCTGGTGGTATCCAAATCCTTCTACATACACCTGCTTTCTTAAGATTCCATTTTTGGACGTCTTTTCCATTTAAGTGAGTGAGAACATTTTGAGTCTCACTCAACTGCATAGGATTTGCGCATTCAAGTATGATCATGACCCTTTTGTGGAAGCAATAATTTCCCTATGCTAGCATCTACTTCATGTGGCACTGCTCAATTCAACTAGCTATAGGTCGAGATTCACCCAACTGTTTCACATCTTGTGAAAATTGATAGCGCTATACTCGACATTTCATGTAATTTTCAGTCACCCTTGTGCCTAAGACCACCATCTGGAAGTTTTGCCTCAAGATGATGAACCTAGTATTAGGGAACATACTTGAACTCTCACAAGCATCATCAGAATGCCAGGCCTTTGTCTCCAATATTCTGTATGTACTGTTCTTCACACTGGTTCTCTGTGCCCCTCTAGGAAGGCCAGAATGCTTGCTTGCTTCGAGCACTGAGGGCTGCTTGAACGGTTGAGGAACAATTCTTTTGCTTGAAACTTGCGATGGTGCCTGTCCTACCTAGGCATCACTTGCATTTGCCTTGCCTTAGGAGGGAAGCAGCCTTAGAAGGGAAGCATTCTTTCCATGGTTCATTTGTACCTTCTGCATGATATGGTCAACATTGCTAAAGCTCCCAACTACCAATGTCCAAAGCTTCACATCTCAAATACCATGCACCCTTTATAGCAGTGCAACCTCCATGGCAAGGCTAGATCTCAATTCTTCTGGAATGAGTTAGGATACACCACCTGGTGTGCCTTTATTGCTCAAAACATTAGTGATATAAGGTTGTTGATTGCTAGATGGTTAGGCTACTGGTTTCCGTGCCTTAAACTACAGTTCTTGGAGATTGCCCAGAGCAGTCTTGTGTAGTGCTGTTTATTCTGGTTCATCAACGAACATGGAGAATAATGGTACTCCTCTCGTAGCCTAAGCTGACCTTTGGATTTACAGCAATATGTTGCTGACAATTGACCAATAAGCAAGAGGGAAGCTGATGGCCCATATACCAAGAGTGCCTCCCCAATTTCTGTCTTATTAAGAAGTATCCCAAGTCCAATCAGTAGGCGGTAATTTTTGAATCCTGCAAATAAGTTACCTTCAGACTTCTCTATCTCCTTTCTGAATCCACCAAATCTTATGTTCATATGATTCTCCTAGACTGACTTGTAAGCTCAAGGGCACACTAAAGTAGACAAGTATATGGCATGTCCCAGCATCTTTCGTCTTGTTGTCACTCAATTATCATTTTTTAACTTGATGAGGCGCCTTATCTAGACACCAAGGGTCGTATCTCTCAAATATCACATCAAAATTGAATTTTGACTTCACAAGCTGCAGACAGCAAAATTCTTCCTGTCTTGTTTTTTACTGGTCCTCTTGGCAGTTCTAGCCAGCCTTAGCCAGTTGGCTGCCACAGGTGTTGCCCATTAGCTAGAGTGGTCCTAATGAATGTAGGATACAAATGGCTTAATATAATTGGATACTGGATTGAATTAACTGAATCCAGTTACATCCACTATACAAACGGATGTCATTGGATTGGGCCCAATTTTATAACGATTAAACCATGATCCATTCTCTCATCCTCTTATCAGTTATAATGTGCCACCTCAATTTCTTAATCTTTGATTCTTTTTCTTCTTTCTGTCCTTCTTATGACTGAAAACTTAACTGCACATGGTCCACCACCACCACTTGACAGAAAGCGTGAGCTTTTCATATGGAGTTTGATCTCCTTGCAGTGTGTTGTTCGTCATACACTGTACTCTTTTTTTTCCTTCCATTTTCTTGGACTCTTCTATTTCTTGGCTTTTAGAAGACTTTTCTATCATTGTTGATGGTTATTCTCAAGTTGTTGGATGGATCTGTTTAATTCAAGTGTAACACCCTGTTCAGCTAATGTGTAATGCCATACATTCACTTTTGGAAATGACACTGAGTTTGTTTGGATAAGAGTTTATTTGGATGATTTATTTGAGATATTTACTGTAGCACTTTTTGTGATGGGATGTATGTGAGATAAAAAGGTGGTTGGGAAGATAAAAAGGTGGTTGGGATTTGTGAGAATAAATTTTGCAAACCAAATAAACTCAGTCCAAACAAACTCACTGTCTTCTGAGTTTTTCCTATTTTATATTTTTTAGTTTTGTTTGCTTTTACTCTGTATTTTTATAGTCCATTATCATTTTGTTGACAAGGTGATATTTATCTACAGAAACTCATATTTGAGAAGCCACCTCCAAATGTTCGTAAAATTGTACTTGCTACTAATATGGCTGAGGCTAGTATTACAATCAATGACATAGTTTTTGTGGTTGATTGCGGAAAAGCAAAGGAGACTACCTATGACGCACTGAATAACACTCCTTGTTTACTGCCTTCGTGGATATCCCAGGCTTCTGCTCGGCAAGTGAGTTCATTACTCCAATTTTTTGCTTCACTCCAAATCTAGTTACCATTCCTCGAATATTCCTATTTTTGCTGATGCTATAAAGTTCTCATTCCTTTGTATCTTTTGTATCAGGATCAGTATTTATGTTTTTGTTGATTTTGATATATTGGGGAGTGTCTATATTGTTTCTTATGTTTTTGTTTTGGCAATCCAAGTGAAGATTGCTTGTAGAACATTGTAAGCCTATATTATTTGCAAGTGCTCAGGCGTTCAGAGAAGTTTTTTGGTTGTTCTCATAAAAGCATAAAATAGCAATGCTTGGGATCAAGAACAACCTTTTTTTTTCCTCTGTTTTATGTATTTAGTTAACATGTTTTTTGCTCTTGTATTTTCATTTTTTTAAATGTTTATCATTGAACAGTAGAATGAACTATTTAATATATTTACTTTTTTTACCCCATGATCAAATGCTGACTAGGGAATCCGAAGTCTAATTGGTCCTTAAAGAAGATCTCCTCTTCTGTTCGATTTCCTTTTGCTTATCTCCTTTAGTTGGATGATTATACTTAATCAAAAAGCAAGCTTCATGTGAAACTTAATAATATCTTTGGTTTTATCTGCTTATACAAAGGAGGTCATTATTATTTCTTGGTTGCAGAGAAGGGGTAGAGCTGGTCGTGTGCAGCCGGGTGAGTGCTACCATCTGTACCCACGGTGTGTTTTTGAAGCTTTTGCTGAATACCAACTTCCTGAATTGTTGAGAACTCCTTTAAATTCTCTCTGCTTACAAATCAAAAGTTTGCAAGTTCGAAGTATAGGAGAATTTCTTTCATCTGCCCTTCAGCCTCCTAAACCTTTGGCGGTAAGCTTTTCCCATTTTGTTCACATCCTCGCTCCCCACTTTCTTCCGAGCTGCTTCGAAGATGGTTGAGCAATGTTATGTGGATATACATTTCTATCTTTTCCAGATTTAAGCAATTAAAATGACTCTTTCATGTTAAGTTTGAGTTTCAAATCCTAGAGTGTGTTTGGATTGTAAGTTATTTGCCCAAATATATTTGCTTACATCACCATTACAATTTCCAATAAACCTTTTTATCTTCCCAATTACCTTTTTATCTCACATACATCACATCACAAAAAGTGCTACAGTAAAAATATCTCAAATAACTTACAATCCAAACACTATCTTTTTCTCATCTGAATTGAATCAACAATGTAGTCTAAACAGGATACACATACTTGTAAACATATATGTAAAAAAATGTCTCAAAAATTTGAATAGACACTTTAATGTAGGGCATTTCGTAGAAGCAGAATCTCTTCAGCGATAGAATTCTTTTAGTGTCCAGAGGAATTAAAGAAATGAATAAGTTTAGGTTTCAAGTTTTTGAGTTTAGGTTTCAAGTTTTTGAGTTAGCTGAGTAATGAATTCCACTTGGCCACTGTTTCAGTGATGAATTTAATTTGATGGTATCTTCAGGTTAACCTGTATGATTTTGATAAATGAGTATCAGGGCTTACAGATTATCTGGCTTAAAAGAAGTGTCTGAGAGTTCTGCTGATGGTTTTATATGTTCATACTTTACATATCTGTAGGTACAATGAATACCGTTTAGTTTGTTCTGGTCAAATAGGTTGTTGTTTCTTTAATCAAATGCACATCTCAATGTCTTGCAGGTGCAAAATGCTGTTGGGTTTTTAAAGATGATTGGTGCATTAGATGAAAGTGAAAATCTTACAAATCTTGGTATGGTATTTTGACTAAATTGATGTTCAATACGCCTAACCTCTTGTATCATACCAGGCTTCTTATGAAACTACATATTCCTTGCTCATTCAGGGGAGTTTTTATCGGTGCTTCCTGTGGATCCAAAGCTTGGGAAGATGCTGATTATGGGTGCTGTTTTTCGTTGTTTTGATCCAGTTTTGACAATTGTGGCTGGCCTTAGTGTCAGGGATCCTTTCCTTTTGCCTCAAGACAAAAAGGATGTGGGTACAAGACTGAAAATAGTTTCATTCAATGCTTTAAAATGCCTTTTGCTTTCTTTTTTTGATATTCTTATTTTCTACTAGCTTTGGTAGAAATGGAGATGTGGTACATATGATGCCATTTTCTTGTATGAGCGACTTAGTGCAAAAGAAAAGAATAAGAGGGGAATCAGAATGGATTAAAGAATGGAATCAGAAATGGATATGTGGCACATATGATGCCAGTTTTCTTGTATGAGTGACTTTGTGCAAAAGAAAAGAATAAGATGTTTCAAAGTACACAGGAAATCTTAAGTCAAGTTTGCTTAGCAAGGCATACCCATATGGTCCCTTTTCAAGATACTTCTTAAAATTATGCCTCGAAACTTAAATATCTTCATCTTCAAAAAAAAAAAAAAATCTTTTATTTTTCACCTGTTTATGGCATACGAATATCATGAGTTTATTTAAGGACACATGAGAGTATTTAGCTGATGTTATGGGAATTATTTAAGGACATATGAGAGTATTTAGCTGATGTTATGGGAACTTTGTTGATTTATTTGGAATCCCTAGAATTTCTTCTTGTGCTGATTGCATTTGCTAAAGTGAGGATCAAAGCTATATTAGATGCCATTTCTTTTCACTACATAAGTTTGGGTCCCTCATTTTCACCACCTGATGTGGATTATATGCTTGTAAAGTAGCATTTATTCAACCACCACTTGTACTTTCGCAACATCTCTTTTTTATCCACATTTATCATTTCACTAATTGCTTCAACGTGTTAGGCCTTTTAGTAGATTGTTTGAACTTCGAATGCAATTTCACATCATTCAATTAGCAAATTCATCCTGACAATGGCAATTAAGCATCAAAACCTGTGCAGTTCATCTTTACGAAGATCAGCTTATCCTAGCTTTTGTATGATGTTATTCTCCTGACTCCAACAGTCAAGAATATGGAATACCAAAGCTCAGCCTGACTGGCCATTAATGGTCATGTCCTTTACTTCTGAACCTATATAAATGGATGTAAACATGTTTGTGGAGATTTGTAAGTATTGGTTAAAAAATCGAGCACTATTTGAGAGAATGAATTAAGATTCTTTGTGAATTTTCAGCAAGACCATACAAAGTAGAGGTTAAACATGTGAAGTTATGATTATTATTCACAGGATTAGAGAAATTAAAAATCCTGAAGTCACTCGAATAAGAAAATCAAAAGCACTAGTTGTCATGTAGGTAAAAGTATTTGCTTTGAACATGATGAATTCATAAATTCTATCAAGTGCCTGACCTAAACTATTGGTATAAGGGATTTGTATAGTTAGATAATGCTTTGATGGTTGTGCAAGTTCAACCCTTAGGTTTTTTGACAGAATGAATCCTGTTGCCCTCAAAGTTTGAGGGTCACAATGCATTTCTTTGCACGTGTTGCTGTGTTGTTTTGTGGAATCATACCAAGAATCCTGTTAAGCATGCCTTGTAGAGTTGTACTGATTGCCAATGGTATACATTGTTAGGTTGAGCAATTTAATTCTTGCTCTATTTTCTTGAAAAAACTGCTCGGTATTTTGCAGACCCACATTTCTAATAGTTTCTCTATAATTTGTCTGACTGTATGGAGCCTTGAATCATACTTGGTAGGAATATTTGTAGGCTAAACATGTTCCTCTTTCTAATGCAGTTGGCAGGGACAGCTAAGTCAAGATTCTCCGTTAAAGACTATAGCGACCATATGGCTCTTGTCCGTGCATATGAAGGATGGAAGGATGCGGAGAGAGAAGGATCTGCATATGAGTACTGTTGGAGGAACTTCCTCTCTGTCCAGACTCTTCAAGCCATCCATTCTCTTCGGAAGCAGTTCAGCTTTATTTTGAAAGACGCTGGATTGTTGGATGCGGATGCAGCAACAAACAATAAATTAAGTCATAATCAATCATTGGTCCGGGCAGTTATATGCTCTGGCTTGTTTCCTGGAGTTGCATCTGTAGTGGTAAGGTGACTCTGTTTGCTAATTTGATGTTTTAACAAATACAATTGATTAAGTCATTCGCCCCTTATTCTTCATTTCAGCACAGGGAGACGTCAATGTCTTTCAAGACAATGGATGATGGTCAGGTCTTACTATATGCGGTATGCTTTAAAGACACACACATAACTGATATCTAGGGAATGCATGTAATGATTTCTTTGGTACTTAAATGTCTGGGAGGAATTGTTCATGCATGATTCTAAATCGCACAAAACTGTTGGTGAAACTCAGAAAATATCTATTCTCATATTGTGCTTCTTATTCTGGCAAACTGAGACAGTATGCTACTGTGAGGAGAAGACTAACTCTCTACTAGGTTTGGATCAACACTTTCAATGTTTAACTGAATGCTAATAGCTGGTGTTGGGGTGCACCAATTATCACAGAAGATGATTGTGTTAGCATAATTTACCCAAGCATAGATAAATTTTACCCACCCCCCCCTTTTTCTTCCTGTACTGCAATTTTGTTGAATTACCAATTAGACAAGCTTGTTCATGATACCAAAAGATAGTTGGCTGACAACCGAGGGAAAAATTAGCATGAGCAAGTAATACTCTACCAGGCAGCATCTTTGATTATAAAACATCTATTCATGCCTGTCCATGAAATTCTTTTGTGCAATTACTGATCAAATTGTGCTCTGTTTGCTTCAATCCTGAAGAGTTTTGAGTTTTGAAGAATGCCTACTAGTAAGAGTAACAAAAAAGCAAGTTTGCCATCCATTATTCTTACAGGTTTCTGATTCTTAAACATCAGTTGATGTACCCAGTTGAGGTCTTCCTGTCTGATTCTCGTCTTGTTGTTTGGTAAATGAAATTATTACATTATAATGGAGCCAAGAAATAAGGGAAAAATAAGAAGGCCATGGAAAATGGAATTAACAAAAAAGAAGAGGAAAAAAAAAAGAGGAGAGGATATTGAAAGAAACAAAATATTGGATTGCAGCATTTCAAAGCAAGAAACAAACTAAATCCTAAAGTGGCTGACTTGCTTTTCTCCCATGTACTGCACTGCTATCCTGGACAATATATTTCATGTCTCCTTTTCTTTTGTATATTGTGGTCATTTGATATAACTTTGCCAAAAAAAAAAAAGAAAAAAAAAAAACCTCTGAATGTCTTTCTTCCGATGTGAATCTACCTTTCTTCCAATTTTCCTTTCTGACACTCATGGAAGGGACACGTAAAACTTTGCTATACAAGTGTGCAACTAGCCATTTGCCATTTGCAACTAGCCTTTTAACTTGTGCAGTTCTCTAGTTTATCATTTGAAACGGTATCAGATTATATGATGGAACAACTTCCTCTTCATTTGTCTCATGTGTATTCATCAAATATTTTCCTCTGAATTTGATCTACAGTGATACAACTTGCAGTGTCCTAAAGTATCCATTATTAACATAAGAGGATGCTGTGTTTTTAACATATTTATGAAAGAATTGCATGAACTTGAGGCTGGATTCAAATGAAGTGAAGAAGAATGTCTGGCAGTATAGACTTGGCTGCAGATCATAGGTCTGTTATGACAACATAAAGGGAGAGCAGTTGCCTTATGCTGCAGTTTAGCTTGGTCTGCGCTTTGAAAGCTGATATGACTTAGTTTAATACTTGGATTATCACAACATTAAGGGCATAGTGCGGCTAGTGTGTGTCAGTTTGTAGCTGTGTCAGGCCATAGTTTTTTGTTAGTGTCATATATGGGTACAATTAATTATTTGATTTCAGTATTCAAGTCATGTTTGTGCCCTGCAATGGGGTATTGCTTGCTTTCTAGCTTCTCCCTTTGGCTAGTGACATCTATGGTTTTGTGCAGAATTCTGTGAATGCCCGCTATCAAACAATACCGTATCCATGGTTGGTTTTTGGTGAAAAAGTGAAGGTGAATACTGTTTTCTTACGTGATTCCACTGGAGTATCTGATTCAATCTTGATCCTTTTTGGTGGTGCCCTCAACTGTGGAACTCTGGTAGCTCTCTTCTTCAGCTGATGATTTGATATATTTGGATTCCAATGATTTCTATTTTTAGTAATCTTTCTCGTACTTGTGGTTTTAGGCTGGACAATTGAAGATGTTAGAAGGATATATTGAGTTTTTTATGGATCCTAGCTTGGCCGAGTGCTACCTGAAGCTGAAGGAGGAGATGGAAAACCTTATGCGGAAGAAGGTGAACTTTTTATTAGTCCTTACATTTTCCCTTTCTTCAACATTACTTGAGTATGAAACCTGTACTTGAATGGTGAGGTTGGCTGCTGCAAACTGACTTTCTAGTGGGAGAGATAGATATACTACAGTATGGCTCTTGCCAGGATTTATAATAGCAAGATTAACTTTTAGCTGAAAACGTTTACCATTTCCTGACCTTTTAGCAGCAAGAACCTTGTGTAACACATTTGTTGTCTAAAATATCATAATCATGAAGAGTGCAAGTGCTTGCAGTTTCAAGAGCTAAGCAAATTGTGATCAACCCCTCTGTACAGAATTAAATGTCATTTCATTGAAAGTTGTATTTGTCTCGCGTGACAGTTTAACTGACGGGATCACTGATATCACTTATCAGCACTGGTTGTTCTGACTCCTGTTCTTTCTGTACATTAAGTTTGTATTATGATAGCTTTCCAATGGAATGACTGCTTTGCTGTTTACAAATGCAGTTTCAAGATCCTAGTCTTGATATCCATAAAGAGGGGAAATACCTCATGCTTGCTGTACAAGAATTGGTGTCGGGAGATCAGTCTGAGGGGAGATTTGTTTTTGGTCGTGAAAGCAAGCGGGTGAAAGAGTCCACTGACAATGACAGATTTACAAGAGATGGGATGAACCCCAAGAGTCTGCTACAAACTCTGTTGATGAGGGCTGGTCACTCTCCTCCTAAATATAAAATCAAGCACCTCAAGACAAATGAATTTAGGGCATTGGTAGAGTTCAAGGGAATGCAGTTTGTGGGTAAACCAAAGAGAAGCAAAGCACTTGCAGAGAGGGATGCCGCTGTTGAGGCATTGGCTTGGTTGACACACACCGACAAAAAGCATGATGAAGATGACAAGTCTCAGCCTGACGTCACTGACAACATGCTAAAACTTCTTGGCAAAAGGAGGAGGTCCAAAAGACGTTGAATTTGGTGCGGTTTTGATGTCTTTTAACTGCTATGCTGCTGTAGAGTGATAACTGCATAGCCTCAGCATGCTGAGGATAGCACAACAAAACCTGTTGAAATTTTGTCAAAAGTGCGAGTGGCCATTGGAAGAATGAACATTCAAATCCCTTTGGCTGCTGCTTCCGCGCTATCAAGTGAAGGGTTGATTGAAGCGCTTTATGTTGCTTGCACTATTCATTGGTACTTGGGATACTATTGGATAGTGAATATAATGGCTTCAACAGGTACAAGGTAGGAAAATTCTGCTGTCCTATAGTGATTAAATGGTTCCGCATCCATGAGAGGGGCATTGTTGTACATAGGCCAAGTTCATTTTGTTAGCTTGTAATAGAGTGGCTGTATATTTACGGCTCGAAAGGCAAATTTGAGGGCAGATGCAGGGAAAGCTTTTAGGTATTTCTATAGCTAGGCTGCATTTTAAGTAAAGAATACTATGATTGAAATTTTATGCAAATAATAACTAGCAGTTTAATTCCACAATGGCCTAGATTTGTGTATGCTATTACCAATAATAGACCATGTGTGTGAACGGGGAAAGGTCATATTTTGTTTCATCACTGCGGGGCAGAGCCAAGTTTTTTGGTTGGGGGACAATGGATCACAAGATGCATCCCGAGGAAAGGAGGACCTAGAACCTCTAACTTCTGGAGTTATATTTTAACTACTAGATCAAAGTGTCCGTGGCAGTTACAAATATAATTTGACTATTTGGTTTTAAAGTTTGACAATAATCATATCTAAAAGCTTTGAGCCAAAAGTACACAAATAGCATACCTGGCTAGCAATTCGACAGGTTTATGAAGAGAATGTTTAGGTATATATTTGTTTAATCATTATAATTTTTAATTTCCAAAGAGGATACATATATACAAAAAAGTATTTAAAAAACTTTGATAGATTTACAATGAAAGCGAGAAACGAATTAAGGGGTGCACATTCTAGTTATTTAGATATTTTGCTTCACTCTAGAAATAATATTCCAAGAGCACAAGATGTAAGATTAAAGCATGTAATAAAAAGCTAAAAGTTGTAAATCAACTAGCTACATAGCAAGTTTGCGAAAAAAATTCATAAATAATGAAGACTAAGTTAGGAACGATTATAAGTGAAAATTTTCAAAATTATACTAGGGTTGAAAGAAATTTTTGAAAACCTATCGGGGGTGGCTGGCTCAGCTAGTCCTCTAATTCCCTTTGCCACTCATCAATTCCTTGTGTAATGGAAGATAAATAATGCAAATAAAAGTAAATATGAAAATTATGCATAAAAAATATACATGGTTTTGCTTTGCATAAAATAGTAAATAAAGAAGGCAATCTCAACGTCTTTTTTAATAGAAAATGACAATATAACATATGAAAGAAAGAGGATGATGAAAAACATCTAAATGTGAGAAAAGTGAAAAATAAATACAAAATAATTAATATTTTCCTACTTTCATTTCTATCATTGGTATGCTTAGCTTGGATGCACCAAAATGCCTGTATTGGAGCCTTACTCATGATTTTGACCATCTTTCAGCATGCTTTCACGTTTGTTGTGCTTAATTAATTCAATATGTGGGAATTGCCCATTCTTTTTAGTGGTCTTGTGATCTTTCTCATTGTGTAGTTAAAGTAGTGCCTTGTTTATTCTTTGGGTGAATTTCTCGGAATAATGTTAAAACCAAAAAATATCACAGAAGTGTTGTTTAAGATATGTGGATAATATAAGGGTTGCCGCAGATGGGAATATCGGCGCAAAAAAAAAGCAGACATATTTTTACATTTATTTTCAACTGCTTAAGAATTTTTTAAGCTAAGATTTTCGATAGAATTTTTTATTTTAGGCGTAGATAGACCATTGATTAATATATGTCAACGGTCGTGATTTGAAGGTGAAGGAAAAAAAAATTTTAAATCCTATTGCTGCACACAAAATTTACGGCAAAGGAATTTTTAATTTTTTAATGCCGCACATAGCGAAATTTGTGGACCATTGATCCACTTGATCAACAGCCCCCATATCGGCACAAATTAAATTTGTGGCGGTATGAATAATTTTTTTTTATTCTGCACAAGCGAAATTTGTGAAGAATTGACACATTGCCGCAAACTTGATTTGTGGCGTTGTAAAAGGTTTTTTTTTTTATTCCACACATGCGAAATTTGTGGATAGTTGATCCACTTGATCAATGGTCCAAAAATAACTGCAAATTACATATGCAGAGAACTGGATTTTTTTTTTTTTTTGAAACCACAAAGATCATTTGCTGCATTAGTTTTCAGTTGATCAACGGTCATAGTTCATAGGTTTTTTTCATTCGCCGCAAATCGATACAAGGTCGTAGTTCATAGGTTTTTTTCATTTCGCCGCAAATTGATAGAAAAATAGTTTTTTTTTTTAATGCAGTAGCTTTGGACTATTGATACAAGAGATCAACGGTGCCAGCTTCAATCAAAAAAAAATTTCTAGTCAAAGTAGCATTGCAGATTCAATACAATTATTGTATCAAAAACAACTTTCTATAATTATTGTATCAAGCCGATAGTTTTCTATAATTCACTCAAGTGAGAACCCCAACTTCAGACTACCATTTCTATTTCTCACACAACCCCAAATCCAAATCCCCCCTCATCTTCTTCTTTATCTTTTCAAAGTAACCATTCTTCCTCAAGAAGACTGCCTGTCATTATCCTTTGGATCAGAAAAGGTGGTGGATCGGGTGGTATTGTCATTTTAGTGACAGCCTGGATTGGAAAAAGTGGTGAATTGAGTGTTATTGTCGTTCGAGTGACGAAAAGGTGGTGAATAAAAAAAGAATTTTTGAAGAAGTGCAAAATGGTGTTGTCTATTATTATAAAGGTTAGTTTATTTAAAGGTTTTATTAGTAATTGTCCTATAACATTTGCAATTATTTTAAACTATGCATATTATGTTGCTATTTGTTTATTCAATCTAATAGTCAGTAATCCTTAGTAGATGATTATTTATTGTTTGTTTTTAGATTAAATGTGAATTTGTATTTTGAAAGATTATTTAATCTATTTATCTTTTAGATAGTTAATTATTGTTTGTTTCTTGATAATCAATGGTCCTTTGTAGATTGTAATTTTTAGATCAATCTGATAGTCGTAGTCCTAAGTCAGTAGCTAGTAGATGTTTAATTTTTTAAAATTAGTGAATAAGAAAATATAAATAGTAAATAGTAAATGATAAATCATAAATCATAAATGGTGAATAGTAAATAGTAAATGGCGAATGGTAAACAGTAAATGTATGGTAAATGGTAAAATAGTAATTAGTAATGAATATTAAATGGTAAATAGTAAATAGTAATTAGTAAAGGTAAATAGTATATATTAAATGGTAAATAGTAAATAGTAAAAGTAAAAGTAAAAAATAAATGTTTAAAATTAAATACTAATAATAAATAGCAAATAGCAATAATACAATGTAAATTGAAATAGTAACTAGTAATTAATAGTACTTGTACTATTAATTGGTAAGTAATATTAATAGTAAATAGAAAATAATATTAATATTTAAAAGAAATAAGTTGCACTAATTTATATTAGTGGTCAACACTTTAATAGTAACTATGATTAGTGAGTAATAAATAATAGTAAATTATAAGAAGGAGTTGGTGGGTACAAGTTAATTGTAAATAATATTTAAAAGTAGATAGTAATAATTATTTGATTAATACTAAAGAAGAACCATTAATCATATAGTTTGAATAATACTATTTGTTTGATAATTTTATTTTTACTTATTCATTTGTAATTGGTGATTGTTTTATTAGTGGTGTTATTACTAATGAAGACGTTTGTTGAATTAATATTACTAATTACAAGAAATTGTTGAAAAATATAAGTTGACATAAAAATATTCGTAAGATTAGGTAAAAATATCAATGGACATCGCATTGGTGATTCAATTTCATTGAGGAGGCAAAATAGTTGAGATAGGAGGATCATTCGCATATGACTCCCTAAGGTGCAAAAAAGCCATATTAGTGAAATATCGAACAAGCTATGATGAATTGGTGGATATAGCGTACACCTACATGCAACTAGATCCAAGGGAAGGCCATATAAATCGAAGGTTCAAGGATGGTAGAAGTAAATCCATGTTTTGTAATAATAGTTTCCTTGATAAATTTCCTTAAATAGAAATTTTCTCGACGTCTTTCATATCGAACATACCCAAAAATGAGGCATTGATGTTGATCAAGACACGAAATTGGAACTTGACGGCGATGATTCAGACGATAGTTGTCACAAGCAGGATCAAACAGATGAAGAATCCTGCAATTTGTTTGTGCAATCAAGTCCAGGTCCGTTGATCTCGTGTCATATATCATCCCATCTGCACGAACTTGAAGGAGTCAAAGCTTTACTGGATTTCGACCCTTTTAACAAAATAGCTGCAGAGAAGGATAATGTGTGGGGTGAACGGCCAAAGGAGTCTAGATTGGGAATGGTGTTTGACACAAAGAAAGATGTGCAATCAGCCGTTAAACTCTGGACAATCAAACACAACAGGGAGTACAAAGTGCGAGAAAGTAAGCTAACTACTTGGTATGTTCACTGCAAGTCCTACAGTGCTTCCCCACCATGTAATTGGCAACTAAGAGTCACTTTGAGATGTACACATAACATTTGGAAGATTGTAAAATTTGCGAAGGAGCACACATGTGTGCGAGTTTCAAATATCAATGACTACCGGCAATTGATTTCGGAACTCATAGTGAAGCACATAATATACCACATCGACAAAGGCCCACTTTATGCCATCAAAGAAATACAGATGACCATCAAGCGTGCTTTTGATATGGATGTTTCGTACAAAAAAGCATGGTGTGTTAGGTGACGTGCACTTGATACTGTGTATGGTGATTGGCCAACTTTTATAGCCGTACTGCCTACGTACATGCAGGATGATATGAACCCGCCTGAAAGTATGCACTCGTATCCCACCAAAACCTGGATCTAGATGAAGAAATCAAGTTGAAGCAGAACCCTTGACCCTTCTAACCCTTAAGATTATGAACCTTGAATCGAATCTTAACCCACAATTGAACGACTTAGCGAACCAAAAGTATTGGTAGAAGAACACCACAACTAAGGTGGATACTTGATTGATAAGTTCGATGAATACTCTCAAGAAACTCTCAAGTATTCAAGAAAGGCTCTCTAAGCAAGAGAATGTAATAAAACACACAATATTTTTCTAGAAAATTCTTGATAATAACGATGAAAAAGTTAGGCTATTTATAGCCTTACAATGACCCAAACCCTAATATGATTTGGAATTACTTAAATGACTAAAACTCTAATTAAATTAACCATAATTCGGCTCATTAAAAGGACTTAATCTGGCTGAAACCAAAATACTAAATAAACAACTTAAAACAACTTAAATCAACTAGAATTCGGCTCAATTAAAAGGCTAAGCTCACTGAATTTATTAGCTAACTTAAACGACCTAAAACAGCG